CTTGGTGTTATAAGGCCCTTTTCTGTATTTCTGTAATATAGTTAACAGTTGCCATGGGTTATATGTGTCCCCCAAAAGTTTGTGTTGGAGGCTCAACACCCAGTGTAACAGTGTTAAGAGGGTGAGGAATTCAATTATGGTATTTGAAAGGTGGAGCCTTTAGAGGTGATTAGATTGTGAGGATTGTGCCCTTGTGAATGGACTGATCCATTCATGGAGTAATGGGTGTGGCTCTGAGGGTTTTAAAAGGAGAGCAAGTGAGGTTAGCTCTCTTGCTCAGCCCATTCTCACCATGTGACCCCCTGCATTGCTGTAAAAGAAGGCCTTCACCAGATATATTTCCTGGACCTTAGGCTTTCCAGCCTCCAAAACTATAAGAAATAATTTCTATTTCTTTAAATTATCCAGTTTCAAGTATTCGGTTATAAGCAACAGAAATGGGCTGATACAATAATTAACAACAAAACCCAAAAATCTATGGAATGTCATTTTCTTGTGAATATTCACCTAAAAGACCAAACCTCTTTCATAATCTCAAAAATAAAATTTAAAATGAAATCTCCTCAAGTTAATGGTAGAATTAGAGTTTTCTAGTTAGTATTGGTAACAATGTGGGAAGCAGATATATTTGCTTAGTTCTGGATATTTTCTACATGAAATAGATTCTCAGAATGAAATTAAGAAAAACAGAACACTTCAGTTATAATTTAAAAATGTAAGAAATAAATGTGATGTGTGGTTTTTTGGTAAAGACTATCATTGTAATAACATCCTACAAGAATCTACAACCATTAGGCTGGCCTACTGGTTCAGTTGGTTAAAGCAAAGCCTTGTAACACCACAGTCAAGGGTTTAGATCCCCCTTACAAGCCAGCTGTCAAAAAAAAAAAATTTACAATCATATTTTTAAATCGTTTTTTTGGTGACCATCCAAATTCTTTTACTATTTTTAACAGTGGATATGAAATCAGATTCATATGAAAAAACTGTCTCATTATAGTAAAATAATGACATGTTACCACATAAGTTTTATCTTCTAAAAAAGTAAAACCTCAAAACCACCTAAAACAAGCAGTGCAACTTACCTGAACTTACCAAATAAATTTTGAAATAGAAGCATAAAACATCAAGATCTGGAGGACTTCCAATAAAGATGGTGGAACAGACAGTCCCTGGCATCACTCTCTCCCACAAATCAAGCAATTTACAACTATAAAAAAGCAACTACAGCCAAGCTGGGGCCACTAGAGCTCAGGGGAAGAGGAGAAGAGACCTACGGAGTGTGTGAAGGTGGGAGAAACCACGATGAAAGAAAAAACCACTCTGACCATTTTGAGCCCTGGCTGCTTTTAGGCTGGAGCTGCTGAGTGCACAGCGCAGGAGCCGGCAAAAGCCACAGCTGTGACTTTTGGATGAAATTGCTTGGAGGTGGCAGGGGAGAAGAGGACCTTGGTGGCCCCAAGGCCAGCAATACCACTAATAGGGTTCCTGTGGACCCACTCAGGACGGAGGAGCCACAACAACTGAAAAAAAGGAGGCACTCAGAGGCCGGTGAGTCATCACGAGGGACTGGAGCATGGTCTGTCCCATGGGAAGTGTTTGGAGCATGGGCAGTGGGGGAGATGGGCCCACCAGGAGAACACTGAGGCACAACAAGGACAGCTGATCCATCCCCCAGTCAGTGAAGGACCACTCAGAGACTGGTCAGGAATACAGAACTGCATGGGGTGTAGATTGATGAAAAGACTCAGGCACAGACCAGGGTTTCCACACACAACCCAGGTGCACCAGATTTCACTAGAACTGAAAGGACCTATAAAGTCAATCACTAAAACCTGAGCAGCACAAAAAGCATTCACTAGGGAATCAGCAGCAATTCAGCAATTTAGCTCAACCACAGAGCTCAAGTACTGGTCCTTATGGGAAGTTTCCCCATTTTAGAAGCAAGCAAAGGACAGCAAATTAGTTCTGGCACAGAATTTGAGTGGTGGGAACAGCAAATAATCCAACACAGAAATGAAAGAAAAAAAAAAGTACTCACAACCAGAGACAAAGTTTGATATTAACTAGTAAAGGTCTCATTTCACCAAGGAACACCTATAACACCTAGAAGGACCGGAAGTCCCCTGGGCTACCAGACCAGAAAGTGAGGAGGGTTGGGGGCCTCATCCATGCCCCCTGACACCTGCAACCAGTTCCGAGGGTGAGTTCCGAGGGTGAGGGCCTCGGGCCTTGGCCACATACCCCCAACAAGCATACCCACTCCCATGATGACCACTGAGCTGCCACAGGAAGTGCCCCAGGCTCTCCTGAGCTGAGGCAGTGGGGGGCCGAGGGCCTCAGTCACACCCCCACAACATGAGCAACCAGCCCAGTGACAACCCCTGAGCCACCACAGGAAGTGCCCTGGGCTCTCCTGAGCCAGGGCGGTGTGGGGCTGAGGGCCTTGGCCACATGCCCCCCACCTGCAGCCAGCCCAGCAACAACCACCAAGCTGCAGAAAGAAGGGCCCCTGGTTCCTGAGGTGGAAAAGTGGGACGTGAGGGCTTTTGCCACACACCCCCAACTTCTGCACCTAGCCCAGCAATGACCAAGCCACTGCTGGAAGCCCCCGGTCTCCTCTGTGAGAATGTGGGGGGTGCCATGGGCATCAATCCCACCCCTCCTCCTTCCTCCTTCTTCCATCACATTTCCTTTCCCTTTCTCCTCTCCCCCTCCCTCCCAACTGCTCTGCAACAACATTAGAGCATAAAAAAATATTAATTAAAAAAATAAAAAACAAAAAACCCACCAAGATCCTATTATGGTGGCTCCAGAAATATCTCTTAACTAGATTAAAAAAACATCACCAGAACTTAAAAATCACATAACATTTTCTGCCATAATATAATCCTATTTGCTCTAAGCATCCTTTAACTCACAGTTGAGAGCTCAGATGTACTACTGCAAGAACTACTCAGTGATTTATTCCAACTGCATTATTCTTATTAAACCCTTGTTAAAAGACTTCTACACTGATGTCTTATCAAGTTTTAAAAAGTGTTTATCACTTATATGTAATACATATGAAATGCTGATGTGCAGTTACTTAAAAAAAAAAACAACACTCCTTTAAACTCTAAAACAGTGTCCATTGTATTATAGCACCATAATACTTTTACAGAACAAATTCTTTAAATGATATGGTTTAAAGAAATGCTAATCTTGATAATTTTAATTTAATTAAAGGTAATTTTAATCAAACTCTTTCCCATATAAATGTCATACTTCCCAAGATATAAATAACTAACACCCTCCTCCCAACTTCACTCTCACCAATTCTCAGTCTATAAGGCCCATAAAGTTATTCTAATTTTAAAAATAGAAACAAGACAATGCATTTTAGAGATAGACATAAGATCAAAACTCATTTATCTTTAATTCTTTTATTTATTTCTTCACTATGCCAAGCTAGTTCTTCATGCCTAAAATACATTACAGTGGAGTAGAAAATTTTAAAAGGATGTGATTTTTACGTTTCTTTAAAGTAGCCAATAGCATTAAGTAGATCTTCTAAGAGATGGTATACAATCATTTATATAGTTAAGATTTTGGCATTTAAGATACTAAACTTTTTATACATTTTATTAAAATATAATAAACTTGCATCTTCAACTTTATATTGATCTTAATACTTTTCACAGTATGCAATATTTGAATCTAAAGATGAGAACCACACAATCATACCCCTCCCTTGCAATTACCTTTTTAAAGTCTTGATATCCATTTTGGACACTTGGGTTAATGGACTGAAAAGAGCTATGTTACACTAAATTTACACACAAACCAGAAAACTTTATTTGGAGTGGTAGATAAGAAAGCAGATTTTTATGAAGTGCAAAAAGAAGTAGGGGAAGTATGAGATAATAGCTATCCCTTAAGAAAAACTTTTAATAGTTTAAAATCTTTCATAGAATCTTACTAAAAAGGAGGCAACATTAGTTTAACATTTGACAAGAGATGAAAATAACTCTCAGTAAGAATCTGGCACAATAAGTATACCTCGAATTAGCATACTTTCTAGTTACAGATGTAAATCTTCAAAGTATATACATTAAGTACACATCAACCAAATATAAAATAGTGCTAGATCATCCTTCACTTTACGTTCTTAAAAACAAAGTAATATACTTATAACTCCTTCATAAAAATGCCCCTTAAGCCATAACAACTTCAAAGTACCTTGACTTCTTAGAATACCACATTTTTCAACTTCTAGCTATTTATATTCACGATACATAAGTAACCATGACAACAGAATTGTAAATTCTGTTTTAAAAAGGCTGTTGCTCTTCCCAACTTTTACTTTAAGTTGAATCTCTGCTATCAGTAGTACTCAGATAAACTTCCTCTTTCAAAGTAGTAAAAACTAAAGGCATTAAATTATTATCTCAAATCAAAGTATTGCTTTATCTATGAAAACTTATCTGTTGTATCCTGACATGTGGCAGCAAAGACCATGTTAAATGTACTCAGAAACAAATACCATTCTGAATATAAAAGTATTTTTTTTTCAAACAACTTAAAAATCAATTTTTTAAAATGGACTAAATCCCTATTGGGAATATGTCCAAATGCTGAGTTTTATCTTATCTCTTCTTAAAGATAAGAGTATATACAAAATGCAATAAGTTAAAAAACAAAACAAAATAAAACCTTGGTTTTGTAGAGATAAAGCTTATACAAAGACCATGTTAAATGTACTCAGAAACAAATACCATTCTGAATATAAAAGTATTTTTTTTTTCAAACAACTTAAAAATCAATTTTTTTAAATGGACTAAATCCCTATTGGGAATATGTCCAAATGCTGAGTTTTATCTTATCTCTTCTTAAAGATAAGAGTATATACAAAGTGCAATAAGTTAAAAAACAAAACAAAATAAAACCTTGGTTTTGTAGAGATAAAGCTTATATATAAATCAGGTGTAAAAACTTGTTGGCCAAAACAGAACATCAAATAATGCTGAATGAACATCACAGCCCAAAGAAAGAAGCAGAACCTTAAAGCCAGATTGGGTTCACATGAGTTTCAATCCCAGTGTTTCAATGCTTCACATGCCCTATCCTAAACAAAATCTATTAATGCAAACTAAGACCAAGAAATCTTAAATTGATGTTTAGTAGAATGTGGTTTGGCTTACTGCTAAAGGTATTAAGAAAAGTAAGTTCAGCATACATGCTACAGAGCTGAGGCACTGAAAAAAGAAGAAATCTTATGGCTATAGATCAAAAATTCACATTAAAAAAAGAAAGATTTGTCATTTAACATGGAAACTTTCCAATACATTCTATGGGTATTCTGAAAAGGCCAGTAATGAAAAACAGTGATAATTATGAGATGTAATACTTTGTTATATAAGAGCCTATAGATTGACAGAAAAATATGCCGATTTCAAAAGTCAACTACATTACACCCTATCTGTCATTACCAAGTCCATCAAGATCATTAGGCCTTTAAATGTGGGACTGGAAAAAATACTCCAGGATGCAATCAAATAAACCAAACCAAAACAAAGTAAGAACATTAGCTAATATTTAAGGGAGCAGCTTTAACAAATGTGTGATTTATTTCCCTTATTGCTCATATTTGAGTTTTCTTTTTCAGCCCTTATATACACTAGCTGAAATTTCTAAAGCATTTCTATCTCATTACAAATCTCCTCTCTTAATACAATAACTAGATCATAGCACAACATACTAACAGTATTACTTAAAACACTGCTCTGACACATCTTAGGATCTGCTTCTTATCACCTCAAAACCGTAAAACTATTTTACTGATTCAACAAATACTTGTTTTTGCTTTGACGCAACTGATCTGGTCCTTTCACAAGTTACTCACAAAGCAGTAGACTGTAGCTCAAAAGCTGAGACCTCATTTCTCAGAATCATTAATAGTACTTTACCTGAATGTATAAAAACACGAAGAGGAGCTTCTAATTTTAACTGTCTAAAATTCACGGTTTGAAATGGTTTGGAATGGTTGATCAAAGTTGTAAGCTCTAATTCAGCTTACTTATACAGAAACTAGGTAACCTCTGGTGAATCACAAGGATTGGCCCAGTACAAGCTTCTCTGAATCTGCACATCAAATCTAAATCAGCTCCACCAATGAAAAAAAGTTTCAAGATTTGTTTCATAATACGAAAGTGTTAACTCTCAAGTTATCAATTTATGAGTTACACCACATAAATTCTTAAGCATACAGAATCAAGTTATGAGTTATGAGTCACACCACATCACCATATAAATTCTTAAGCATATAGAGTTATCAGATACATCACATAGTTCTTAAACATACAGAAAACAAAGTCAGTCAAATTTAGGAGCTAAGCTCATGCTTTAAAGCTTACAAGATATAAAAATCACATAAAATGAGAACTACAGAGTGAATGTCTTGGGTCCAACATGTAATGCTACTATCCCATGGTTGTGTCAGCATGACAAGCAAATCAATTTCTATATTGAGAAAATATGCACACACATACTACCACTTTTCTATTAAATACATTATAAATACATTCTCATAGGAAACACTGATTTTACATTAAATTGTCTCTTAGATAATTTTGCACTGAATAACAATAAATGACAATCCACTCTTGTATACCTTAAATCGCTTAAAACAGTATTACATATATTTACACAAAGAATTATGGTAATATGCAAGAGTACTTCAATAAAAATTGGATGAACAAGATTGAAATAAAAAATGGTTTTATAACCAAGCTGTACGGACGTTTGGAGGTTTAGGTCTCAGCAATGGACCACTGGATGTGTCAAAAACCAATCGCTCACTCTTACAACTAAGAGCACTGGTAGCACTGGATGTCCTGGAAGCTCCCCCTGAAAATATACAAAGAAGATATAATCTGAATTATTTAAATTAAATACATAAATCATCATCTGATAAACTTCCTCTCCTAATTTTAAGTCCAGACTAGTTTTTCTTCCATATCCTGTGTGTGTGTCTAATAGTCTAATGCAATGATTCTGGACCAGGATAAATACATTCAGAATTCCTTGTGGAACTTAAAAATATAACAAACATGACCAGACTCCATACTAGGGGATTTTGATTCAAGCTTCTCAAGTGATTCAAGTGAAAAAATACCACTTTGCATAATAATTTATATATTCGTTCGATAAATAATTTACTACATACAAGGCATAATACTAAGTATGAGTTACTGGAGTCAGATCCTATCTTAGTGACTATACCAAGGTAGTAATGTATGTAGAACAAATAAAGGGAATTCCTGTCATTTAAGTGTTTAAGACTCACATAAGCACTGGGAAGTTGTGGCATTATAACTATTTCCAACTTTCTTTAGTATTGGCTTCTATTTTTGATGTAGTTTAGAACATATACATTACCACAGATTTCTATAAAGGAAAATGTCTGGCCTTTTTAGATGTTGCATACCCTAGCACTAAACAGTTACTCCATTTGTACATTATATGGGGTACAAAACTGGTTAGGTCTGTAACTGATCACATATAAAGCATAAAGTGATACTGTATCTGATGACCTTAGAGTTTGTTATTTTTGTTTTAGTTATCCAATGAAGAAGAAAAAGTACATATAGAGGAAGATACTAGCAATAATACTTAATTGGCTAGAAGGGAATGTTTCAGCAAGATTCAAACAGCGTATCTATTCATTTCTTCCTTTAATGAACATATTAAAATCAAAAGTCCCTCCCCTCTGTTGTCTAAAAAGTACTCATATTTTCAATTGTTTTATCTCCTGGTTTTCTTCCTATGCTTCCATTACATGCTGTAAATGGAACCTGAAATTAAGTAAACTAACACAAATAAAACAAAATATGCCAGTAAAAACAGAATGCACTCTGGAAGTTAGCATTTTAAACTACATCATTCAAACATAAGCTATATTTTTAAAAAAGAGATACAAGGGTGACGTCACTAAGATGGTATAGTAGACGATCCCTGGCACCACTCCCCCAACAAGAAATCAACTTGCAATGTCTAAAGCATAAAAATTGCCATTCTGAAATCACTAGAACTCAGGGGAAGAGGTGGAGAGGCCCGTTTGGCATGTGAAGGTGTGGACAGCCACTGCGGGCAGCAGGAAGATCACTTCAAACAGCCTGGCTGCTCTCCCAAGCCATGAGGTGCAACACACACAGAAGCAAAGCCAGTGCAACGCTGTTCTCACATGAAGCTACTTGAAGCCTGCAGGGGAGAAAAGTGCTGCGACTGCTGGGAAAAAAAGATCACTTCAGAACACCCTCTTCCATCCCCAAAGCCAGCACAACTGCTCGAAAAGTTCACCTGCAGAGAGGGAGGAGCCACAACAGGTAGGATAAAAGGATCACTACAGAGCATTCCTTCCCCCTTTCCACAGGCTGGCATAATACTGTCCACAAGGAAGTCCACTGGACTTGTGGTAGGTGTTGGATTTGCCCAGTGATCTTTCAGTCTTTGGAAGGGACTCATCTGGGCCCTGCTCCACAAGAAACATTTGGAGTACTGGGGGCTGATCCACCATGGGTGAGATATTGGCAGCTGATCTGTGTCCTGATCAGCACAAGCACCACACAGTGGAGATGGGCAAGTGCCACAGTGTTGTAATGAACACAAACCACAGGAAAAACTCAGTCCCAGGCCGGATTTCCCACACAGTTCAGTTGCTCCTGTGGAGTCTTCCCATGACCCAGAAGTGTCTAAAGGGTCAACAAATAAATTGTGGTCTATACAATAACTCTTCCCCAGATTGCAAAACAATGGCAAGGCAGCAGTTTAGCTCAGCCACAGCATTCAGGTTCTGATCCCTGCAATAAGTGTTCCCAAGCCCAGGAATTAATGGCAGGAGAGCAAGTTAGTTCTGGTGCAGTGTTTAAGTGGTGGTGGTTGCTATAAACCCTCCACAAAATGGAAAACAACTGCAGGCCTGAGATAAAGTTTTGATATTGAGAAGTAATGGTCTAACATCACCAAGTAACACCTACAGAAGCTGGAAGAGGTAGCCATATCCTCAAATGAACAGGCATCAACATAAAGACACAAAGACTGAGAAAGAACAAAGAAATATGACACCACCAAAGGAAACAAACAAAGCTCCAGCAATGGGAGCAGAAGAATGGATGATTTATGAAATGTCTGATAAAGAATTCAAAATAATCCTCTTAATGAAGTTCAGGGTGTCACAAGAAAGTACAGATGGGAAATTAAATGATACTTTGAAAACAATCCAGGAGTAGAACAAGAAAATAGATTAAAAAATATAATCAATTAAAAAAAAAAAAGAAATTCTGGAAATAAAAATACATTATCTAAACAGAAAAACTTGATAGAAAGCTTCAAAGCAGACTTAATCAGAGGAAAGAATCAATGAACTCAAAGACAGAACATACAAAATTACCCAATCAAAGAAGCAAAAGAAAAAAGAATGAGGACAAATGAAACATGCCTGCAGGAATCATGGGATACCATCAAGTGAAAAAACCTATGTATAACTGGTGTATCTAAAAGAGATGAAAAAGTGAAAGACCTAGAAAGCATATTTAAGGAAATAATGGCTTAAAATTTCCCAAATATGGAAAAAGATGACAGCATCCTGGTACAGACAGCTCAGAGGTCACCAAATTCAACCCAAAGAGGAATTCCCCAGGCAGATAGATCATAATCAAATTATCAAAAACCAAAGATAAAGAATACTGAAAGCAGCAAGAGAAGAAAACCCACGTAATATTAAACAGAGCTCCAATACAGCTTTCAGTAGATTTCTCAGCAGAAACCCTACAAGCCAGGAGAGAGTGGAATGATATATTCAAAATGCTGAAGGAAAAAGACTGCCATCCAAGAATTCTGTATTCAGCAAAACTATCCTTCAAATATGAAGGAGAAATAAACACTTTCCTAGACAAACAAAAGCTAAAGAAATTCATTAACACTAGACCTGCCTTACAAGAAATGCTAAAGAGAGTTCATCAGTGTGAAAGAAGATATGCTGCTAAAATGTAACATTTAGCATTTGAAGATACAAAATTCACTAGTAAAGTACACAGAGAAATTCAGAATACTCCAATGTTGTAAGTGTTGTGAATAAGCCATTTATATCTTTAACGTGAAGACTAAAATACAAACCTGTTAAAGATAATAACAAATACAACAACTGTATAAGAGATAGGCAATATTAAAAGATGTAACTTGAAACAACAAAATGTCAAGAAGTGGGCAGGGGAATGATGTCAAAGCAGAGTCTGTTTTTGCTTTTTTTCTTTTCTTAGTAATCAAAGTTATTATTAGTTTAAAATAATCTGTTATAACATACTTTTTGTAAGCCTCAGGATAAATTGTAACGCAAAGAGCTATAATAGATATATTAGAAATAAATAGCAAGAGGGCCGGCCTGGTGGTGCACTGGATAAGTGCGCCACTTGGGAAGCGCGGCGGCGCTCCTGCCCGAGGGTTCGGATCCCACATACAGACTGGTTCCCGCTCACTGGCTGAGCGAGGCGCGGGGGCAATGCCGAGGGTTGCGATCCCGTTGCCGGTCCCTGGTCCGGTACGGGGGCAACACTGAGGGTTGCGATCCGTTGCCGGACACGGAAAAAGACAAAAAAGACAAAAAAAAAAAGAAATAAATAGCAAGAAATCAAAATATACCACTAGGGAAAATCACTTAATTACAAAAGAAGACAATATGACAGGAAAAAAGGGAAAAAAAGATCTACAAAACAACCAGAACAAAAGTAATAAATTGGCAGTAACAAGTCCCTATCTATCAATAGTAACTCTAAATGTAAATGAGTTTAACTTCCCCAATTCAAAGACACAGAGAGGCTGAATGGATTATAAAACAAGAACCAACAATATGCTTCCTGCAAGAAACTCACTTCACCTATAAAGATACACATGGACTGAAAGCAAAGGGATGGAAGAAGATACTCCATACAAATGGAAACCAAAAAAGAGCAGGAGTAGCTGTACTTACATCAGATTAACATAAACTTCAAATTGGGAACAGTAAAAAAAGATAATGAAGGTCATTATATAATAATAAAGGATGAATTCAACAAGAGGATATAACAATTCTGAATATATACGCACCCAACACTGGAACACCTAGATATATAAAGCAAACACTACTATACCTATTAGGAGAGGCAGACTCCAATACAATAACAGTTGGGGACTTCAACATGCCACTTACAGCAATGGACAGATCATCCAGACAGAAAATTAACGAAAAAATATCAGAGTTAACCTCCACTCTAAACCAATTGGACCTAATGAACATTTATAGAACATTCTATCCAACACCTGCAAAACACACAATTCTCCGGGCCGGCCCGGTGGCGCACTGGAA